TGGCCTTTGTTTCCTTTCTAACAAATCCCTGAGTATGTCGAATTTGGATTGTGGGGTTTGATACTGGCTTATCAGCGCTTCTTTAAGACCCACCCAATCGGTGTAAACATTACTTTGTCTATGCAGCCAATACCATTCTCTGGCTTGACCAGAAACCAGAAAGGCGAAATCCCTCAACACTTCAGACCATGGAATGTTATATTGAGCCTGCATGATCTCTAACCGCTTAATAAAATCCACAACTCTTAAGCCTTTCGGGTCACCACTGAAATTTAAACCAAGTTTATCAACTCGTATTCCTAGTGGTTCCACTCTAAACGTATTCGTTATCGGGCCAGTAAATTGATCTGATAATGGAGTTTGACTAGCACTCGGAAATTGGATAATTGGTGGCATATTCCTATTTACTGCGTCATTATTATTGTTTGACGTCGGATTAGCATTACTATTTGTAATAGAATTAGAGGCTACTGTGGCCGTTGGGGGTACAATTAATTGTTTACGCACAGTGTCAGATAGTTCTCTCATGCCTTTTGATAAAGAATCTATCATTTTCTTTACATCAGATATTTCTGTTTCGACCATTTTTTTAACTTTATCTTCCAATGACTTCTGGACAGACGCTGCTTCATCTTGTACCAGTCCATGTAAGTCGGAAGTAGTTGGACCATTATTATTCAAATTATCACTCACTGTTGGCACATGATTGGTATTCTGATCTCTTCGCATTATCGTGTCTGCTAGATCGATAAATTGCAAAGCACTCATATTCCTATCCTCATTCGCCATTTCGTCCGACCCTATTCGTCTTTGCTTACTCTGCTCTGGAAAATAAGTCGATCGGTTTAGGTCAAAATTTTCGGGTCTGCCTCTCTTATTTCTTTTACTATTGCGGGTATTGTAGATCATGACCTATACCCAAAATTTATCTTCTCATTTGTTATCAATTGAATCTCGGACGAAACCTTTTCTTGTAAGTAAGTTTTAAATTCAGTTAACCTTTTTTTTTAAATATGAAACATTTGCAAAACAAATACTTTTTATAAATACATTCAATTACAATTACACATACAAATTTTCAAATTTGACAATTACAACATAGATCTACGGGGGAAGTGTAATTTTCAGAAGCAGTGTGTGTGTGGTTTTTTTTTTTTATTTATTCATTATTATTATTATTATTTTTTTTTTTTTTTTTTTTTTTTTTTTTTAATAATAATTTTAGTGCCCTTTATGAGGTGTATGACTTTTCCTTTAGACATTCTTATTCTTCTCATAAATTATAGTGCTTCGTTAACTTCGGACCCATGACATATCTATTACATTTTATAAATGAAAGCTCAGGGTTTTTATATGCAATACTTGGATTTTTGCATCTCTCAGATCAAAATCGCTATTGCTGCTACTCGAAGTACTTATTCCCGTCTATAATTTATTTGGGTTATTTCACAAAAACAAATTTTAACAGTAGGATTCTCAATACAAATTGTTTTATTCCAGCTCGGAATTACAAGCTATTGATTACACCCTACTTAGAACAGTGGAGAAAACGTTCCCATAATATATTTGATATAGTAATATCGCACTTCGTAACCCATCTCTCTAAAGTTCGGATGCATACTAATATCACAGAATATTATTTGTCAAAAACATTTTCTTTTGTCTATTTAAAATCTACTAGCATTCTATGGCTGTGTGCGTCGATGTTACTGCACAGAGTTACTAACCTAATATCACAGTTTAACACGGCCATGTTTGAGTCGCCATTTTTTACAGTGGTATCAGGTACAATAAAGCTTTATTTTAGAATCTTGGGCGCCATCTCTGTTATGTGTGCATATGCTCGGCATACGATTAGGCCATCCGACTGTCACAGAGACTCCCAGGGCTAGGGATCTCAACCCGCCAATCGAATCCAACACACTAACATTGAAAGGGGACTTTACTACAATTGCTCTACTCTACGATATACAAAATAGGAGTCATCATACAGGGATCTCGGTGGATCGATCCCACACTCGCCCACCCTACCTGGATCCAGTATTTCCATTTCTTGCGTTTCTCTGAATCCCCTTGAACCACACGCTTCGAATCACACACTTACTTCATACCACCTTCCCCCCAAGTTATACAAATTTAGCAACACATATTAGTATCTACTGTTTACAAAAGAATCATTTTTAATTTTATTAAAAAAAATAAGTTAGCTTTAAATATTTTCTTAATTTTTTTCTCTACTATTTTTTTTTCTTACACTAAAATTGACAAACTGTATGGTATAAAAAAAAACAAATTAAGAATAATACCGGGCTTTCTTAAATCTATGGCTTTAATTACTCGGTAGAAACCAATATATTATCCTTTGCCTTGCTTTTCCCGCGCAATATTCACGCGTCTATACGAAATTACTAGCCACCTAAAAGAGCTCTCTTAACCGGCCTAATTGCCGCTAAAATTCCACGGCCTAAACTATCAGATCGAATCACAAGGACTCAAGATAATTTTACTGTAACACCTCCTAGCCTTTGAAAATAAACGCGGTATTTTTCCCTTACAAACTGATTATTACTTAAATCCTAAGAACTATAACCTATCTTATTACTAAATCTTTATACTGAATATTATATTTTTTTTTCTCGAAATTTATGATTATTAACTCTTTTTTTCTTTTCTTTTAGTTCCAAAAAAGGAGACAGCAAATTTTATGGACGTCACATATATATAAATATATCAAGGACAACACAACGGTAAGACACCTTTTACCTGAGCAGTGATGTATAACGTTATTGATTAATTCTTCTTATCTCTTCTTCCAGTTTACGCTTCTTTCCGGAGGAAACAGATTTTGAACGCCAGACAAACCCTCAAATGAAGCTGGACTTGTTGACTGGTCCTTTTACAATGCCGGCGTTCTGGGCGGGATCAATAACAGGCACAGCAAAAAGCTCAAAGTTGCAGCTGGCCAGTTTACAATTCAAATCTCCACACCCTCAATGTAACTTTTTTTGGCTTTTTTTTCCTGTGGACAACTTGCCACTACCTTGCGTTACCAAAAAGAAAAGGCAATTTCCCGCCGTTGTGCTGACCAAAACCGGACAATTTTCGGTGCTTCCAAAAAAGCTTGATACACCACCGGAATATTCACAATAAAAAAAATCGCAACACACAAATTAAATTTTTCCACTTCTGCACTGCTCTCTTGCTAAGTTTCACCGGTAACGTCTTATTCTTCTTTGGCTTTTCTTATGCTCGCAGCCTTTTATACCCCTCTTCTCAGTGAATCCCGCCAGACGCTCATTTTCCACGAAACACCATTTTCCTGAGCCATTTTCAATTTTCATTCCTTTTTCTTTTCAACTGTCAATAGCCATTTTTTATTCTATTGTGAATTCTCATTTCACCTCACCCCTGAGTCTCTCATTTAAAAATCAACGGCTGTCTAACTATTCGCCCAACCCTTTTCACATACGTTACCAACTCGCCCAAACAACGCCAATTTCCTTTAACCTTATACGGCAGCGAGACATCAGCAAAAACATTTTAATATTTCTCTCGAAATCTTTTGTTTTTCTATTCTTCTGATATTTCTTAAATTTTTATTTCAACGTGCCGTTTTTTTTTTTTTTTTTCATAATCATTCATTCAAATTGTGTCTAAACAAATTTTGATCATATTTATAGTAGGTTCCCACCTACTCAGCAATCATAGGGCTGCCTAGTCACTTCTTAGCCTGAGTCACCCTGTCATTCACTACCTTTATAATACTCTTTTACTCAACCCTGTTCGAGCCTAATTTCGTACGTAGCGAACCCTAACAAACCATTTCCGGCATTTTGATCCCATCGCCACCCAGACTACACACCCCGCAGAAATTACAAGCAAATTGAAATCTCGAAGCATCCTCATCATCCTCACTAAAATCCCAGGAAAACTGAGCAGATCCATTTGAGGACCAATTATGGGATGCACTACCAACAGAATTGGGATAATTTCTGCGGTGGTTGTGGACAGGTTTTGCCAAAAAACACGGCCCCATATATTTGTTGCCTTTTTGCGCCGCATGTGAACGGCCTGCAACAAATGTTGAATGAAAAATTTTTTAAATTTGTAAAAATTGTTGAAAAACGCGAATTATAATAGCCTCCAAATGACGTAGTATAAGAAAACATATAAAAATCTACTTATATTTGAAAAAACATTTAAATTTGTTTGACATATCAATGCTCCCAAGCGTTGATGCATCTACTTGTATTCTTCTGCCATGAATAGTTGTGTTCCAGTACTTTTTTAGTAGTAAAACTAGCAGAAGAGAGAACAGTTCGAAATGTCATTCTCAATTAGGTGTGCTCAAAAAATAAGGGAACGGAAAATTAGCAGAAATGCGATAAAATGTCAAAATTCAAAATTCCAAGAGTAAATAGTCCAAATCGGACTGGTGAAACCTTATTGAAAAAAGCGCCAACATTTAAAAAATGAGTATTGAAGACGATAAGTTAAAATTAATAATTTATAATAATAATTAATAATCTGATTCCTCATTTAGCCAGTCCTCTTCACTGCTGGAATCATTCAAAAGTGAATACATCAGTTGCTCCATATTTTCTCTTTTTGTTTTTTGCACGACAAATCTTTATTGAAATGTATCAATACATTTTTCAACCTTGTTAGCCCTGCCAATTAAATGTCAAATTTACAATATGCACATTTCTGCTCGGCCAAATTCATGTAGCTAAAACAAGCAGAAATGTGCACCACTCAGCGCCATTTTTTTCTCGAGAGAGCTGCAAGTTTTGCTAGTTTTTGGAGTACGGGAACGCGTTGTAGCAGAATTAGTGCTAATTAGTACTAATTTGCAGGTTCTGGAACACAACTAATATTTTTAAATATTTAACAGTTTCACACAGTTATCGATACGGTCGATTAATGTAGAAAATCAAGAAAGTGAGGAGTAGACGGAACCAGCAAAAAAGACAAATGTCGAAAGTCGACTTTCGAATCCCTAACATTTTATTTTCGCAAAGAGTTTGGCAGCAGGAATTTCAGAACTTTTGAAATCCTCTGAATTTTGTAAAACAATATATATTTTGTGTCTAATCAAAGAAATATCGAAAATAGAATCTTATGGAATTACAATAAAACCAATTATCTAAGTCTAGAATAAACTAGCATAACAGTTTGATTCAATTCTACTTTTTTCAAACACAAAATCAATAATCCTTGCAAAAGGAGACGCAAATGCTGAAAGAGGAATGAAAAATTAGCTTAGAAAAACAACAAAGCAGACCTAACCTGGTGCAGAGAAAACCAAGATGTCTGACGAAGAAGAATCTATGTCGGAAGGATTTTCCGCCAGCGAGGATGAATGGAAGCCAAGTAAAGAAACCCGCGGTGGCGAGTCGTCAGATGACGATGATAGTGATTTTGAAGAGTCCTCGCCAATAGCTGCTATTAGCGCATCAAGTGGAGGTGGAGGAAGAAAAAGGTAATCTATTCAATTTAGTTTTTTTTTTTCAAATTATTATTTTTGATTTTCTTTGAATAAGGGGTGAGCGGGAGCCCAAAGCACGCAGTGCAGCAAAACAAGGAACGTCAAAGAAACGGCCTGGTCTTTCCTTACGTGCCAAACTTTACAACAAATATAGGCCACTGCCAAAGACATGCTCTCCGCCAAGCAGTGAAGGAAAAAACTCACCTTCGGCGTCGACTTCACGCACGAACTCAAAAAACGCCAAAACGCCCAATGAAAGTAGTCGAAAACAACGCAACGATAACGAAGATGATGGCTCCAGTAGCGATGGCAGCATCGACAATTATTTGGTCGATCCAAATCAAATTGACATAGAATCCAGTTTCTTTAATGTCAACCAGGCGAACGAGTCCAAAACGTCTGTGTCACCTGTACCAAATTTTGATTGTAATGCTGGTTTGGGTAATTTATCAGATTCAGAATCAGATGGTGACGAAAACAACGATTCAGGCAATTTTCACAAAACGGAAGACACAAAAGCTTTTGATTTTAGTGATTTACTCCAAAATGCCAATAGCCTGGAAAGGGTTAAAGAGTCATTGGCAAAGCATGCTGCAGAGGAGGCGGCAGCTAAAAAGGCTGGCACACCTTCCAAAAAATCGTTGGGCTCACAAATCGATAGCATGGATGTTTATTCACTACTTGCATTGGGCGAAAAACAACATCGATCTCACAATGATGGTGAGGACGAAGAGGACGATGATGACGAAGAGGAGGAAGATGTCAAGACAAAAGGCGGCAGAGATCGTCATAGCAAAGAACCTCTGAAGCTGAGCAAAACGAAATCAACTCGTGTCAAACGTCATACCAAGACCCGGCCAGCATCAACTGTTGTGGCGGCTGGTGATACTGACGATTCAGATTTTGAGGAAGTTGCAGGTAGGAAACGCAAGTAGTGACACCTTGTATATTGGTTGGTGATGGTTGGTTGGCTATAGACGTAATGTTATCATCATTGTTTTGATTGTAGTTAATTTACATGCATTATGTATGTGCTGGAGAGTGTGTGTGTAATTTGTTATCATGATTTTTTAGTCTTGTCCCTAAGACAAAATACTAAGGAAAGTATACAACAAAATAAACAAAAGGATATTTCTATTATAAGGTCTCAATTGCGCGCGCTTCCACAGTTTCGATATTTAAAAAAAAAATGAGACTGCAAAGATATTAAATGCTATTGCAAAACCAAAGACAATTTTAAGCTCCATATCTAAAGGAACACACACCATGAAAATTGAAAAGAAAAGAAACCATCATAAGCAAAATGCAAGTTGCTATTCCATACGTCATCATACCTATGTTTTTGGTAACAATGCAAGAAATGACAAATGAAGGTTATTAAACGTGTGAATTTGAATCAAGATATCTTAAGAGAAATCATTTATATTTGTAGTAAAAAATAGTTTTGTAATGAATGGTTTCTTTTTTGGCATTGCTACCAAAAACGAAGTATATATTTTTTATTTATTATTAAAAATTGCGGTTGTGATATTTTATCTTTAGTAATTTTTTTATATTTATTTTCATTTCATTTTTTTTTGTTGTAATTAGAAATTATTGTCGGACTTTTTTTACTTTCATTCAACACATGTTATAAATATGGAGATAAGTTGGACAGTTGCGTTTGGATTGCCGACAGATATATGCCCTCAGCATTTACCAACTAAAATGTTTTTTTTTTTAAGTTTTGACCATTTGTAGTATTAAAGGAATGGATCGCTATAGCTCATTTTCTCACCAAGCATATTGAGATGTGCAAAGTATTAGGAAGGTTGATAACTTTTTAATTTTATGTGGGATTTAATTTTCTCACAAAGCAAAATATGAACAGACATATTGAGATGCGCAAAGTATTAGGAAGGTTGATAACATTTTGATTTTATGTGGGATCTACGAACAGGAGGACAAATAAGCATAATACACACAATCAGTGTGTGGGCAGGTATCAGAAGAAGTGGAAGAAGTTCTATTTTCACACAATATATAATGTGAGCGAAAGTATTGAAAAGTTTAAATTTTGTTTGTTTGAAGAAATGTAATTATTCAAAATTGTTATGCATTGTGCGGGGAGGACTAATGCTTAAGTCTCAAATAAATCTAAATGCAAAATTGTATTCAAATCAGATGCTTCCTTTGTTGCCTAAGAGATATTTGATTGTTTTGTTAGCAGGTGGATCTATACTATATTTTTTGTGAACATTTTAAAAATATGTGTTCCAAGCTTAAAACAAATCGGTAACTTCCTTCGGGAAACAACCGAACATAGCATATTTATACCCTACACTATATAGTGGTAAGGGTATTATGTCTTTGTGCATTTGTTTGTAACATGAAGTTCCTTTTGGTGATCAGCATAGAACCACATTTTGAGTCGATTTATGCATGTCCGTCCGTCAATCCGACTGTCCATGTATTTTTGTATACAAAATGCAGGTCGCATTTATTATTCGATTTAGATGAAATTTTCCAAATAACATTTGTATGGCTCAAAGACGAACTCTATTGAAATCGGTGAAAATCTGTCCAAATATATATCTACGACCGATATCAGGTTTATTGTGGTCCAAATGGCTAATATCAGTCCAAATGGAGTGAATTTCGGCATTTCCTACCGAATTCAGCCTACAAGCATTTTCTTCAAATTTGATAAAAATCGGTTCAGAAATAGCTATAGCTTCCATATATATGTTTCATACGATTTGGTGTTTAAGTCCCTCAAATTCGTAAAATGCACGATACAAGAATAATATTTGGTACCAGATATCAGATGCAGCCAAGAAATACCTTATTTCAATTTTATGAAGATCGGCTCAGATTTGGATATAGCCTCCATATATATCATTATTCGATTTCAGGTTTATTTTGCACCAAATAGCTAATATTAGCCCAAATGGAGTGAATTTTCGAAATTCAACCGAGTTTAGCAATTTGCTCCCATATATATGTTTCATCCGATTTGGTCTTTAAATCTCCAACTTTCGGAATATGCACTCTACCATAATGATACTTTGTACCAGATATCTCATGGAGCTCAGAAATTGCAATATAAACCTTTCTTTTACGAGAGCTCTACTTAATATGCATAGTGGTGTAGGGTATCGTTTAGTCGGCCCCGCCCGACTTTTGAGCTTTCCTTACTTGTTTTTTTATGGCGAGGTTTAGACACATCATACATGTTTCGTATACAAAACACATGTCACTTACCTACGGGAATTGTTAAAAACAATTACTTCTAGCCATTTAAACCATTCTTTGGATGGTTTAAATGATCCTGACCGTTTTTCATTAATTATCTGAACGTGAAATATCGAAAAGGTATTTGTATTCATCACCAAGTTCTAATCCAATTATGAATAACGATTAAATCGGTCCTTCTTTGGAAATGACTCCGGCTTCCGAACATTTGCCACAAATGAGTAGTATTATAGTTTTGACATAAAGATCTCATAAATTTAAATATATTCCTCCATTTACAAAGCAATTTTAAATCCTTAATTGCAACGTTACCCATTGAAATAATAAATTTATCCAGCTTCGTGCAAAAGCTCTAATATCATGCGACCAAATAAAGTTAATATGAAATGTGTTATAATTTTTTATTAATTTTTTTCCGACTACAAAGATCAATATTAAACATATAATTTGTGTTTTTCTACTTTACTATATACTTTTGGTTTATTAATCTCATTGTTTAAGTTGAAATGCATTTAAGGGTTTTCTCTAGTGTACCGCGTTTGTTGTTGTAGCAGTCACTAAGCATAGTTAGGAATAACGACAATTTTATTTACACGAAATTCTAAATTAAATTTGATAATAAAACAAAAGATTGATAATAAAATAACTATGATTCTTAGCACCCCAAGTTATGAATTGTAGTAATATCTGATAGTTTGGACATTTTTTCGAAAGTGATATAAGTCATATAGCAAAAAGGTAGAATCAATTAATCATGAAGATCTTTGATTGTATCGTGAAAATCAAACCATTAAATTTCATACAAATACCCCCAACTTATATCTTTTGTGACATCAGATGTTATTACAAATATAAACTAAATGGAAGATGCTGGAAAGGATATGCTAGTCAAATGAAGAGATAAAAGCAAAATTAGTCAATGTAGTTAATTTAAATATTTAGAACTGATTAAAAACGAATTTACTTTAAAAATGTATTCATATGTTAAAAAATTATATAAAAAATAAATAAAACACGAAATATATATATATATATATATATTACGAAAAGTAACTACAATAAATTTTGTTAAAACCCAATACTAGTGATGACATCTTTGATTTAGAATAAAATCTATGAAGTATGCATAGAAATACACACGTTAGTTCTCAAGACAATTTGAAAAAAAACTTAGTTCAGTAATTAAGAACAATAGAAAAAAACCAAAACATTCATACATACAACATTTGTTAAAAAAAAAATAAAAATACAATACAAAAATTACCAATACCAAATATTAAAATCAAATCAAAATTATTAAAACAATATTAGTCAAACAAAGAAAAACACAAATATCGAAATGTTACAACAAGAACAAGTCACCACTATTAACATCATCAATGTCAATCATAATGTTATTATTATAATTATGAGTGTGTGTGTGTGTTTTAAAAAATAATCTATGTTTGATTGCAAGTATTAGAAAATGAATGAATGCTGAAAATGAGAAAAATACGTTTGATTTAAAGCACTTGACATTTGCTGAATTCACACAAATAAATGTTATAAATGATATGCAAACATAATATTGTGTTTTTATTACGTTAACTTTAGCTTATTGTTCCATTAAGTAGTTAGCTGACTAGCTGATAATAAATAGCACTAGACTTAGAAAAACTCGACTCTCAAAACCCTTAAATGCATGACTTTTGGAATGTCTTCCTGTGTTTATTTCAAAAAATATTAAAACAATGCAACACAGTTTATTTAGGCAGATGTGATGCTAAAATGATTTCAGTATCCCATATTCCAATGAAAGTTAAAATCTGCTGTTAGTATAGATTTCCTGCCAAAATTGTGAAGGAAAAGCTTGTTCAGATATCAAAAATAGAACACAACAAAAGCTACATGATATGAAAGTGATTACCGTTTAATTTTGTTCGACAACATTTTCTTTTTCTGCAGGATGTTGTAGAAAAATATACACAACATAACTAAGGATCTGTTTCTGTATGAGGATATGAGAGTGAACTCGAAAGAAAAATACAGTTTTATGGGTACTTTTCAAATTAAATATAAATGCTGTTGTTATTTATTGTTGACCTTGTAGATTTTAATATGTTTGATGGTGGTTCGGCTGAAGGTCAATAAAATAATTTTATTTAGTTATTTTCTTTTTTTCTCTTTATTATCCAATATTTCGATTGTCATCGACAATCATCTTCAGGAATCTGTTACAAAGTACACAATTGAGTACAAATTGATAAGAGAAACTACACAACACACAAATATTTCATTAGCTTTGTTTAAGTGAAAACGTCTACTCTAATTTATCGCCAAATTCGAACTAAACCTTCTTCATCTGTGCTTATGTACTACACTTCTAAAAATACAGGGTGAGATAAAAAAAAAACTGCAACAAAGTCGAACGCCATAATTTTTATTTTTTTTTAATTGTATTGAATGAAAGCAACAAATGTCGGAAATATCATCAAATTTTAGAATAAGTTTAGAGTTGTTCGAATTGGTCACCTTTGGCACGAATTATGGTCTTTAAACGGCCAATGAAACCGTCACATGCTGCCCAAATGTTGCTCAGAGGTATTTTGGTCCATTCCCGGCGAAGCGCTTGCTTGAGGTGATCCACACTTTGGTATTTTTTAGTGCCAACCTTGCTCTCCAAAACACTCCAGACACAATAGTCCAACGGATTGGTATCCGAAGATTTCGGTGGCCATTGTGCGCTGGGAATGAAGCGAGGAACCTCATTTTGTAACCATTCTTGGGAGGCGCGTGCTGAGGGCGATGGTGCTGGGTCCTGTTGGAATGTCCAAGGTCGTACACCCTAAAATATTTCACGAAATTAAAAACTAGACTTTCCCGACATAAATCGGATCAAAAATTCGACAAGCCTTTAGAACGGAAGACAGCTTTAGCAGCACATTAACAGGACATAGACCGAACTTTAAGGATATAGATATAATGGAACAAGAAAACAACTATAAAAGACGGTTCACATTAGAAATGATACATATTATGAATGTACTACCGGAAAAAAGAATGAACAATGAAACCGTTACGGACCACTGTGCACATATTTATAGAAATTAGTGTACTTTGTAACATAAAAAGAAAAATAATAAAGAAATAACTAAATAAAATTGTTTTATTGACCTTCAGCCAAACTATCATTAAACATATTAAATATAAATAAAAGTGTGAAAAACACCCATGGGATGGGACGGATTATATCGTATAATACTTTGGAAGCGAATTTCGGGCATACCATCCCTCTTTCGTGATTTTTAATCCATTTCAAAAATGAGGAAGAATATCAAATATTATCCAGGAAGCAGGCATAATCTTAGGGATGTATTTCTGTAGTTTTACCAATCTGTTTTACCTTAATTCTATATTGTATTGAAATCGTCATAAAAAAACAGATCATTAGAAAATAAAACAAGTTGGTATCAATAATTTGATAACGTTTTTTAAGGATTTATAAAGCTTTAATGGTTTGCGGAGAAGGTTCCAAAAGGAACCGAGCTGTATGATAAATCATTGTACTTGATCTAAGTCTGATAAAAAATATGAAAATGTGCAAAGTTGGACTTAATCGTAGACATGCCATATTTAATTCCGCGAAATAACATTTTTGTGTATAATTCTAAAGGCGCTATCAACAGGAATGTGCTTTACATATGGCTCATGTACTCAATTTTAAGTTATCAATTGAAAAAGATTATTACACAAAAAGTGATATAATTGCATAGAGAAATGTATGCAGAGAGGTCACCAGTAGTGGGATTCTCTAACACTTTTTAAAGATATTTGGTTTGAAGTATTTGAGTGTTTCATAGACATACTATACGGGTTTGCTGAAATCAAGAAAGCTGTGGCAGATTGAGTTCTACAGATATCAATATATAGTCACCGAATCATCAAGCTCACCAGTTCTGTTGACTATTAGGTTAGGTTGAAGGACGCAGGTCCACTCCATCATGTACCTCCCCCACAAAGGGTTTTTTGAATATTCGTGAACAAGAAATTAACATCCGATTTCATTCAGACTTGGCAACTCTCAATATTGTCATCAACAAAATATCTGTTGTAAAGATGGCAGAGATCGGACTATTTCTTCTGGTACCTCCTCCACATAGGGTTCAAACGTTGACAAACAAAACGCTCGAAGAAACCGTAATACGCATCGAACTCTCTTCAATCAAGATGATGATATATATCTGTGAAAACCTTCTGGTATCTCAGCCAAAAGGGTCACAATTTCCAATACTTATATCTGTCATAACTTGCGAAACAATTCGGCGATTCTTTACAACTTATCTAAAATTCTTTTAACCAGAAAGAAATCTGATATAAACATGTAATTAGTTGGAATTTATGATTTCTCATAAAATTGAATATAAATGTTCGATTTCCTTCAAATTTTGCACATACCAATATTTTTGTGTGTATTAGATGAGGTATAAAAATCTAATACATCGGTTGGCTATATCTGGCACCTCACGCATATTTACACATTTTCCAAAAATTTGTACATAGGGTAAGTGCGCCTAAGTTCGGCATGTCCCAGTAGTCGGCAGTTTTGAAATATAAACTTAAATAACTAAGAATAGAAGTGACCAAATAATGAAATAATTGCAAAAAACATCAACACTGATCTCTGCTCTCTTTCTGTAAAAAAAAAACAATGAGCATCGATCATTTATTACGAGAGAATAACGGTTTTTGTCAGTGAGTGTCTTCCAACACGTGCGATAGTGCTGTTTGTAAAGAAAAAATTAGTGGTGGCGTCAACTTAATAATCTATGTAAGTATATTAAAATTAATACTTTTGAAATCAGAAATATTTTATAATAGTAAATAACAGTCTAAAGATCATTTTATAACTTTAAAAAATACAAATTAATCATTTTTCTGTTATATTTTTTAATGCCGACATTAGGGACAGGAAAAAAAGAGATTTGCCAATAGTCGGCAGGGGTTGCCAATTACTAGAAAAATATCATTTTTGACAAATTTCACCAAAATTTGAGAGAAGTATTAAAAAATAATCCAAAAACTACTCAAATAAAAAAAATATTTTTGAGTGGATTTACACAGTATTCGACATAACTATGGTCCTTAAGTCGGCAGTCGCTTTTATTTGTGTTTTTTGACCAACTTTTCTAAGTTAAGTAGGTTTTTTAAAGAAGCTATTTGACGTTTCAGATAGCCAACATTTTTTTTCAAAGATGCCTCCAAAAGGAAAAAGATCATTTCACAAATATACGGAAAACGCCCTGAACGACGCACTAAATGCCATAAGAAGAGGCGATATATCAATTTTGGGTGCCAGTAAAAAGTATGGTGTTCCCAGGGCAACTTTGCAGGACAAACTGTCTGGTAGAGCTCCTGAAGGCCCAAGAAAGATGGGACCTCCTACAATATTAACAACTGCCGAAGAAGAGCATTTAAAAAAGTGGTGTCTAGATTTGGCCAAATGTGGATTTCCGATAAAAATTGACGAATTGTTAAACACCGTACAAAAAATTTTAAATGAGGATAAAAGAGTTACTCCTTTTAAAGACAGTCGACCTGGCAGAAAATGGTTTAACGCATTTTTAAGACGACATCCTGATTTAAGCATTCGGGAGTCCGAGGGAATTACAAAGGGGAGAGCCATAGTAACGGAGGAGACTATAAGAAAATGGTTTTCCGATTTAAAAACGTTTTTAGAAGAGCAGAATGCTACAGATATCTTGGAGGATGCATCCAGGATTTTTAATGGGGATGAAACCAGTTTTTCTATGTGCCCGAAAACTGGAAAAGTTTTAGCGCCAAAGGGTTACAGAAATGTGTATTCAATACAAAAAGGAAACGAAAAAGAAACAGTGACAGTACTATTAGTCTTTTCCGCTAATGGTAAAACTGTTAATCCAATGGTTGTTTTTCCATTTAAAAGAGTTCCCAAGGATGTAGTGAACAGTCTCCCGGAGACCTGGTTCCTCGGAAAATCGGAAACCGGATGGATGATCAGTGACGTGTTCTTTGAATACATTGCTAATTGTGTCCATAAATGGTTAGAAGAAAATCAAGTCCCTAGGCCAGTTTTGCTATTTGTCGACGGTCATAAGTCTCATATGACTATGGAACTTAGTGAATTCTGTGAGAATAATAAAATTATATTGTACGCACTTCCTCCCAATACAACACATATAATGCAACCAGCGGACGTCAGTGTTTTTAAGCCGTTGAAATCTGAGTGGAA